TATTTGTGATAGGAACATTCGTGCTCTTTCATAAAACGTTGGCTTTATAAAATAAACCAATCGTTTTCTAAAACTGTTCAGATATTGGACACAAAAATTTTCTTTCTTTTCCTTCTTCCGTTTAACACCATTTCCTGACAGTCACAGTAAGGTAGGGTGGCTCAATGGTCTAAAGCGATCGCCTTTACCTCTCACTGCCCTCTCACATCTGTCCACGTATGTTCTATTCTCAAACTCTGCCAATGTGGGTACGTGAGAAAGCTTGCCATTAGCTTTCCGCTGGTTGGTGATACATACAGGGTTTTTCCTCCACAGTAACACTGGCCGTCGTGTATAGCCTATAATGTCCAGAAAATGGCTTTAAGCCCATAATAACAATGGTGCAAATTAAATGTACATTCAACGCCTATATGATTCAGGGTCAAAATAATGTACCTTATTCGTGCCTGACCCTCCCCTTGAACCATATCAATATATTCTTCAATTAATAGTATAATGCAATATTTTGTTGCAATCGACACAATGTCCACCTCCAATTGAGAAAGGGTGTTCTCAAAGTTGTCAGAACTTGTAGCCTAAACATCCATGTAACATTAACGCAAATTTAAGAGTTCCCTCAAGTAGGCCTATGGGTCATGTGAGACAACATCTACTGCATACAGTCCAGCAGGCAGACTGTGTCCATATATGATCAAAACAGGAATGAATGTCTCTTACGTGTCACTCAGACCACAGGCTTAGTACACAAACATCATGTGCTTTTTGTAGCCCGAAAAAAAAATTATGCATGTAATGTATTATACCTTGTATATATGCCATATACGATGGACAGTTATCGGTGAGAAATATCACACATGCATCATGTACCTACCTCATGCTTCTGTATCCGCACACGAATATATATCAAAGGGTATTGTAAAAGTATCAAAATATCACATTAAACTACATAATGTTAGCACTTTTTCTCAGAGCAAACAAGTCGGTTTTACTTACTCGCGCATGCGCCTTAGATCACTTACTTTCCAGGATAAAAAAGGGCAGACGACACCATAGAATGTGATCCTCTGTCTTTAAAATTGTTTTATTACTTTTGTCATTACTATCCGTTTTTAAGACATAGGGAAATGTTCATAATTATGTGCGGAAAAATCTGTATACTTTTGTGAATTTCATTCCGCCAAATCGCCTCTTTATATTAGAAACAAACATCACCGCTAGAGGACGCTGGCCATCCAGATTGAAAGTTTCTTAAAATTGCAATCACATTACACATGGTACTTTATCCGTTAACGTATGTAAAATGCCTAAATGATTACACCATAATGCATTCATGGTTGAAAGTTCAAATGTCAGTAATAAATTCGGCGGAAAAAAAACAATTTGTAAACAGCAGAAAAAAAAACATAGAATTAATATATATCCTCACATACGAATGCTTTTTTAAAATAAATACTCTGGAGGGTTTGTTTTTTTTACGAGAATAATGGTAATAGAAGTGCAAATATTTTAGTAAAACCACCGAATTATGTCTTTTTTAAAGGTCACCCATGACAGCAAGAAGCTTCCTTGAAGCGTTCCTCGGATTGCTGGTTCTTCCAAAGGTCTTCTTCCACCAGATATACTGGTCGTCATGTACAGATTAGCATGTGCTGAAAAATGGCGTTAAACCCAAAATATAAACAAAAGTGAGCAACGCGAGATAAATTGATAAATATAGCCAAAATCTCTGGCATTAACGGGCGTGTGCGAGATTTAAAAAATGTACAGATGCTGTTGTTGTGGGGCTTAGCGCCATTTTTCGGCAAACGATAGGCTATACATGGCGGCCAGTATTAATGGTGGAAGAAGAAACCGGGAAATCACCGGAAAGAACCACCGACCCACGAGAAGCAACAGGCAAGCTTTCTCATATATCAGCATTCGCCGAATCCTAGACTCTAACCCACGCAGACAGAGGTGAGTTGGCAGTGATCCGTAACGGAGAGCGCTTTAGACCACTTGGCCATTCGGGGTCCCATTAAAAAAAATATGTACAGAAATTCGGAAGAAAGCAATGGCAGCTAGCTTAACAAATCTGAGATTTTTGCAAAAAATTTTCCCTGGATTGGAATGATAGCTGTTTGAAATTGAAGACTGATGATCAGGTAACACATGTATTTAAAATGTTGCTTTATAAACTCATTTTAATTAAAACTGGTTGTAAGGTTTACAATTTCCAAGTCTGAGGAAACTCATAAAAATAGCAAACAGCTGAAAGGTTCACAGTTTTTAGACTGAGGGAACTCATTTTAATGATAAACAGCTGAAAGGTTTGCCATTTCTTGCATTGAGGAAACTCATTTTAATTACAACTGGCTGAAAGGTTCACAATTTCTTATCGGGATGCACTATTTTGACATGTATAACAAAGGAAACAAATTTAAAATTGATCATTTGAATTCTTTTTTTTCCAAAACGTTCTTTCGTAGGCAGATTACCTGAACAGTTTCTATTACATTTATTTTACGCCTGGTAAAAGGTGTGTTTATTTTATATAGCAAAATTAGTAACCAGTTAATAAAACGAGACATTATATAGCAGGAGTTATGCCCACAAGTCTTTAAAACCTAAACATATACCAAATCAGGTGATTACTTTGCACATATACATCGTTTTCAAGTCTTTAACACAAAACTACGTACATGTTTATTTCCCAATGAGAGGAAAGAGTGAATTAGATACGTGATGATAAACATCAAGAACGTTAGAATGAGACGTATTCATGCGTCATATCAAAAATGAGTTATTTCCTTAATTCAGAATATAACACGATTGTATTTATCCAATGCCCTCTATTTTACGTTTTCCAAATAGTTTCAATTTTATTATGCGAACAGAATTGAAAACAGACTGAAATTTATGCCAATTAGATTTGGAGCTACAAAGAATTTCAACTGGCAGAAGTCAGTGAAAAAAAAAAACACTTCCAAAACTTTAGCATGAGATATGAAATTACAAATCGAATGTCCGTATAGAATGTTGTCTAAATGATGTACAAATAAACAGGTATTTCATTCTAAAAAAGCAAGATGACTGCAAAGATTGATACCCTGCTGTAAACACTTGAAGATGGAAATAAACTAAGTCGGAAATAAGTCAGTACATATGTGTTATAAAGCGACCGAACAAGTCAAGAACACACATTAAATCTCTCTCTCTCTCTCTCTCTCTCTCTCTCTCTCTCTCTCTCTCTCTCTCTCTCTCTCTCTCTCTCTCTCTCTCTCTCTCTCTCTCTCTCTCTCTCTCTCTCTCTCTCTCTCTCTCTGGTTTGATTGGTTGTTGTTGTGGGGTTTAACGCCTCTTTTCAGCACACGATACATGGCAATCAGTATTAATGGTGGAGGAAGAAACCGGGAAATCACCGGACAAAACCACCGACCCACGAGAAGCTACTGGCAAGCTTTCTCTCATATCCACATTCGCCTAATTCTAGACTCGAACCCACACAGATAGAGGTTAAATGGCAGTGATCCGTAACGGACAGCGCTTTAGTCCACTCGGTTTGATTAGTTATCGACAAAACTATTTCAAGTATGAATTCAGTTGTTAGTTTGATTCCGATAAGTGTATGTGAGGTGACATGCCAAATGTGTTTGTTCAATACCTACCAAACTACTTAACTAACTACCTACTTATCTACCTATCTACCTACCTACTTAACAACCTATTTACCTAGCTAACAAACCAACAACGCGTGTACATTCTTGCGAGCATCTAGTACAAAAATCGGTTATATATTTCATATCTCAAAAAACTATGGGAGTTATGAGGATGACCAGAGGCAGGATGAATGTAGTTGAATGTAGGCATGTGAAAAAGGCAACGATGTATTTAAAATGCCTCTCGACAGTGATGCATTTTATCTCAAAGTACGCTTGAGAAGAGGAAAAGGCAGATAACAAATACGATGCTTTTAAAGATATCTTTAAGTAAAGAAGTGCTTCGGAGATACAATTTGATGAGGGAAGTTTTAAAACAGGAAAATTAAGGATTTGTTAGAAAAAGAAAACAAGTGAATTTACTACTTCTCAAGTTACGTTGACAAAAACACATCAGTAGTGAATGGTTTAGTCGAACCATAAAGACCAGACTATGAAAGTACTTTACTTAAAAGTCAAATTGAAAAATGTGGAAACGTTTCACCGAAGTTACATGACGTTTACAATAACATTTATCACATTGACACTTTTTGGATGAAGAGCGCAAGAAAGAAAACATACATAGTATGGATAAACTGACAAACCTTTCGGGTTACTTGACAATTGAGAAATTGGGAACACATAACTTCAAATTAGGCGAAACAGCAAGGATCTCAAATTACAAAACAAGTTTTGAAAAAAAATGAGGAGAGGATGCAGATGTCATGATTCACGAAATGCAGCATTTCTTAAATGAGAACTCAGATTCCACATACAAATTTGAAAAGGATTTATAAACAAAACGGATGAACCACAAAAAGTATGCGTTCATGCATGAAAAGGGTATAACGAGTAATCGAACAGCTAGTAGGCGGCTGAAATATTATACCATTAAAATAAATTATATAAAATACACCTCTTTTCCGTAGCCGATATGCAGAAAACATATCTGCATCGGAAGCGACGGATGTGATGTGATTTGGATTTTTAACGTAGCTTTAACAATTTTTCAGGCATGACGCCCCAGTGCTAGACATCACTTTAAACTGCTACACTGCAGTTATCGTAGCCATATGACTGAAAAATTGTTAAAGCTACTTTATATCATAATCACATCATAATCACAAATTTTCAGTGATATCGCTACGATGTCTACAGTGTGGCAGTAAATAGTGATGTCTAGCCCTGGGACATCATGCCGAAGACATGTAGCATGATGTCCCCCACCCAGTCACATTATCATGACATCAGGCCGACCAGTCCTAACACTAACCTCCTAATACTTGAGCGTCAAGCAAGGCAGCTGTTAGTACCATTTTTGTAAGTCTCTGGTATGACTTGGCCGGGGATCGAATCTACGACCTCCCGCATCCGAGGCGGACGCTCTAACCACTAGGCCACCGGAGCGGTTTGGAAGCGACGAAAGAAGAATAACACATTCAGAGCGGTAAGAATGCGCATGAAATCTTTATTTTTTTTAAGAAAGAACGTTTCTATAAAGCGGTATATGACACACCTCCTATTAATGATGTATAATTCTATTCAGAATTTAATTCTTTAATCTTCATGGTCTTTAATGTTCCAGCGCCGAAGGGAAAGTGGAGTTGAAAACTAAAAAAAAAAATACTGTGCCGTGACCTTAACCTTGAAACAGGATCCCAAACGTTGTCTACACCACAACTTCCAATGATAATGCTTACGCTTGCTAAGTTTCATCCGTTAATCACAAATGGCTTCATAGTTATAGAGCGAGAGGTAAAATATAACAGAAAACTTCAAACAATAATCTTGATCTGAAAGACATTTTTTTCAATATGATGCGTGACACACATTCCAATGGTAATGTATTTTAAGTATGTCAAGATTCATTCCATAATTGCAATCAGTTTCAAATGTATAAACAGCAAACATTGAATAGAAAATGTCTACCTAATAAGTTAGCCTTATTTCCGAACTGTAAGGAGTTTTCGCCGATTCAAGTTGACCAAACAAAAGTCTACAGCATTCCACGAAATAAATAAGAATTTGTTAAGAAAATATGCTCATTTATGATAACGATTTGTCAGCAAAATGGACAGGTTTTAACGTATCTAAGTCTGAAGGAGGAAGTCGACTTTTCATTTGGATTTCTTTCGTATTTAGAATATTCGAAGCAATATCAATTCTGCAGCTTCATAATAGCTCTTGTTTTAGTGGTAAAATGTCATAAGGATCATTTCATTTTCTAATCACCAAGTAGTTTCAAAAACTATTTATCATTTTATTTGTAGAGAAATAAGACCCCTTCCCCTTTCTTTAACAGAAAATAAGATCAAATGCAACATTGGTGAAGTTTCCATGAAAAAAAATGGATCTCAATTCCTGTCAAGGGAACAGGTCACAAATATATAAACAAGTGTTGATTTGTTTGCACAGTGCCAAAATGTAAACAATCGCAGTCATGTGGTGATGCATCTATGTCAGTGGTTTTCAAACTTTTTGATACTGTAGACCCCATAGCATGTCGTGGTCAGACGGCGGACCCCTATCAGCCTATCCAGCCTATCAGCGAACCCATATCATAATGAAAACTTTGCGAATGTACTATTTTTTTTTCTTTTTTGGAACCTGCTTGCGGACCCCTTGGCAACATTCGACGGACCCCAAGGAGTCCACGGACCACAATTTGAAAACCCCTGATCTATGTAACAGTCCCGAAAAAATTATTCCTACACTCAGACCAGCATTTTTTCCATGTCCGTGGACACAATTTATTACGTTCAGCTAACCGCTACATATTTTTTTATTTTCACTCAAAAAGCAATTATTTACATAGCAATTTATATTAACAGATACTAAAAGGATCTTGTTCATTAGAAATAATGCCGAAAAGGACTTCAAAGTCCATCGTATGCAGTTGAATTACAGGTTTTCATTAGCATAGCTTGTGAAATATCTGTCTCTCGCTCCTCTCAACTCGCTTAAAATTTCAGTGTATACACAGAAGATAATATGATTGCAAGTTACTGAGTTGCTGCTGCATCATTTCATCGTTACTAACATAAAGCTACCACCTAGTTTTCCAGAAATTCTTATAGTATCACCAAGTGTTCCAGAAACTCTAATAGTCCCAACAAGTGTTCCAGAAACTCTAGTAGTCCTAACAAGTGTTCCCTAAATTCTAATAGTCCCAACAAGTGTTCCAGAAACTCTAATAGTCCCAACAAGTGTTCCATAAACTCTAATAGTCCCAACAAGTGTTCCCTAAACTCTAATAGTCCCAGCAAGTGTTCCCTAAACTCTAATAGTCCCAACAAGTGTTCCAGAAACTCATATAGTCTATGTTATACAAAATCTCCAGTACCTAAATCACTAAAGTCAAGATTAAATATTAACTTATTTACTTAACATCTTTGCTGCATTAATGCTGTTTGTTAAACAGATGCAAGTTTTATTTCTTTCCATTTAATTCATTTTGATCTTTGCATTGTTTCAGTCTTTTCTTCGTCATCCTTTTAAGTAAAATCGACACATATACATTTTAGATGAAAAAGTATAATAGTCATCCAAATAGTTAAAAGTGTAGAAAAAGAGATCAATTTTTGGTACTTAATTTTATTACGTCAGTGTTGTTAGCAGATATCTTTCACCAAACGAATTACATTACTTACACAGTGCTGTCCAAATTACTTTTTCTTCATGTCGTAGCAAAATGACATTACACAAAACTGAGTGATAATTAAATGTATAAATCAACAGATTTCAGCAGGACTTGCAATACATACATTACATTTTACAGCACACACTGAGAGAAAACTGCAGAAACAAACAACCACTGAAACGCGCATGATAATGAAAACTTAGAGAACAATTCCACCTACTATTTAAACTGTGTGCAAACAAAGAGTCTAATCTCAGATCGATCATTTTGATTGTTGAATTTAATCCCCTCCATAAACATTTTAGACGGTTGACCTATCAGGTAACTGAATAGTTGCAAAACATGATTCTGTGACTAACTATACGCCTGCTTTTAACATTGTTCAGAAAGTGATATAGGTATGTATGTATGTATGTATGTATGTATGTATGTATGTATGTATGTATGTATGTATGTATGTATGTATGTATGTATGTATGTATGTATGTATGTATGTATGTATGTATGTATGTATGTATGTATGTATGTATGTATGTATGTAGGTAGGTAGGTAGGTAGGTAGGTAGGTAGGTAGGTAGGTAGGTAGGTAGGTATGTATGTATGTATGTATGTATGTATGTATGTATGTATGTATGTATGTATGTATGTATGTATGTATGTATGTATGTATGTATGTATGTATGTATGTATGTATGTATGTATGTATGGGACTGGTCTACAAGCCGAAACCTATCCTCCTGCTTAGAAGTCCAAGTTAACTAGTTCAAAATGGTGAAGTGTACACAGATGAAACATTTAATGGGCCAAGAGCTAGCAAAAATATATTTTGTAGGAAAGGGATGAATTACTTCATTGTTTTTAAACAAATTTATCCCTAAGTTATATTTTCGATGACAGCCAGCTTAACGCTTATCGTAATTGTTTCATATCTTTGTGTATTCGCATTTATCATGTCTGTCTACACGCATTTTAACAATGAATATCACACATAGTGTTGTGTCGAGACATAATAGATGAATGGCAGATGGCTGAACAGATGAATCGGTTGGTGTCATAAAATCAAACCATATGAAAATATCCTTCGCATGAAATCTGCGGTATCTGAGAGCAAGGTATTTCATATTTGGAGACTAAACATTTTTATAGGAACTTATTCATCATTGTTATTTCTTCGGCAGAGTTGTGAAAAATGGAGCAAAAAACATAGTCAAGATGACACATATACAGCTACAAGCATAGAAATGCTACAAAAACCTGAGTTCTAGAAGTAAGGGCACATGTTTAATTATATGTCTAAAAGTTTGATAAAGCTCAAGGTAACCATGGTTCTAGAAGAAAGAGCAAACTTCTACATCCATGTCTATAAGCACGGTAATTTTATAGAAACATAGTTTCCATAAGAAAGAACAAACTTCTACATAAAAGAAAGACCATATATCAGTGTTACTTTTCAAACTTTATATAGTTTGTTTTGTATTTAACTCAATACCAAATACTATAAAAATCCATGATGTCCTTTAAAAGTTCACAAAGAGTTAACAAAATTTATGATTCATTGGAAAAATGCAGCGTCAAAGGAGCTTTTACATTTTTTTTAGTGGAAAGATGAATGAAAGACTTGAGCATCATTATTTATGCACCATGGAGTATAGAGAAGAGTAAAAATTACTAGGCAGTTTGCTAAGGATACAACATTAATAAACAAGTCTCTGGAGGAGAATGACGCACAACAGACATAAACATTTCCAGGAAAATATAAGTAAGACTACTTCTTTTGAAACAACTTTTGATAATTCTGAGCAACAATAAGATTTTTAAATCAGCCGCTGTGGTAGCCACATTGGAAGCAAGATCGGCACCATTTTTGTGGGAAAACAAGACATATTTTTTTGGTAAAAGCCCAATGTAAATATGTTCATCCATTCAGGTTGTGTAATGATAAAAAGATCTTCAATCGGCATAATTGACTTTCTGGTGAAAGTCTCGTGTCTAAAAGCTTTCCAGTTAGAACGAGTAACGATAACATGACTGTTAAGATGGCTGCCATGGTGGCTACATTTAATGTCAGATCAGCATCATCTTCATATAAGAAAAACTAAGCATCATAGAATGTCCTCTCGTGAAAACCTCATGTAGACGTAACTTTCCATTTAGGAGGAGCAGGAATTACAACATTTTCATGAACGGTCGCTGTGATAGCCACTTTGGATTTTCTATGGCACCATTCCAATCAGTTATCGTAAGAATCCTTCTGGTAAAAATACTATGACAGTATGATTAATCGGATTGAGGTCAGGGTTGGGATAGCAACATGATTTTCAAGATGGCACCCACTTTCCTTTGAAAAATATAACCATAACAATATTTTCATAATTGTTGCCGTGGGGGTCATATAAAACGTCAGATAGACACCATTTTCATTTAGGGACAACTTGACACCATTTGAAGTTCTGTAGTGAAAACCCCATGTTGATAAGGGTATCCGTTCAGGAGGAGTAACAATAAGAAGATTTCCAAGATGGCGGTGGTGGCCATATTGGATGTCTGAATATCACCATTTTTATTTGGGACATCTAGATTATGGCATGAATATATGTAAGGTTTCATGGCAATCCTATTGGTGGATTTGGAGGAGCAGCAATAACAAATTTGTGTTAACGCACAGACGGACGACGGACAATAGGCCATCCATTTGCTTTTCTGGTGTATGACCGATTAAGCGAAAATAAATCTGTGACATGGTGAATTTTTGGACTGTATTTCAGACCATTTCAAGCATAGCATTTCATATGCCTGTCTTTGTGTATGTTTGTCTGTACAACAAGTTTTACCAGTTAGAGGATATAATTCGTATGCATAGTGCAGCCCCATGTGTTTGTGTGTGTATATATATATATATATATATATATATATATATATATATATATATATATATATATTCTAGAAATAATAATAATAGTAATAATGATAATAATAATAAAATAATAATAATAATAATAATAATAATAATAATAATAATAATAATAATAATAATAATAATAATAATAATAATAATAATAATAATAATAATATTAGATTTAAAACTGAAAGCAAAAACATTTGTCTTCTATTTTGTTACTTCAATGCTGTAAATTTTCCATGTCCTATGATAGCATTAATTTCTGACCTACATAATGCAAACCAACCAGAAAGTCCTTTATTAATAACTGTCATAAAGCCGATTTGCTTACATGTATAAATTTTTACATGTACAGGTATGCACATTCTGAGCGAATAGTGTGCATTTGAATGGAGACATTAACGATTTTACAGTTCATGCTGGTGCAATTGTGTGTGTGTGTGTGTGTGTGTGCACGCGCGTGTGTGTGTGTGTGTGTGTGTCGACGTGTTATGCATACATACCGATAGACTCTCTGCAATATTAAATCATGTTCGGTCTGCCCTGACAACCGTGTGCATGTTACATTTTATCGTCATATTGTATAAAGTAGTCGTCCAAAAGTCAAACCTTGTAGCCGAGTGGTGACCAGGATGTTTAAGTAGGACCCTTAGACTGCCCTATAAAATATGATCTTAAGTGGCAAAAGGTTATCATCAAATAAATCAGTACATCAGTCTATTTAAATTTAAAATTAAAATGTCATGAGCCCGGATAATCTACCGTCAATATCTCGTAAAAATAGCTTTAGGCAATAATAAAATTTATAATGCTTCATCATATCAGATTTGATCGCTATCTGATACAATTAACTCTTACAGGATATGCTCTGCATCCCAAAATATTGTCGTCGTCGTGGATGCTTGATTTTTGCTAAATGCTTGCCTGATCATTATTATCTAGGTCAGCCGCGGTGGCTCATGGTTAATGTGCTGGAGTCACAATCTGCAGCTAGTGGGTTCGAAACCTACTATCGGACAGTCCGGGTTTAGTTTCTATGGTGGTTTTCAAAAGCACTTTACTATGCACTACACAACTTGTTTGTGTTGATGTGCAGAAAACCCGAATCTAAATTATTTTTAACGTTCATCGACTCGGTTTGGTCACTGAGTTATATATGTAGATCACGTGACTTGAAATGGGCAAGCATAAACTGTATATAGTAATTAATTCTATGTGACAAGAGTGCCTAGATTACAAGATGATAATTGCTAACTAGCAACAATACACTTCCGCTAGAAAAAAATGCTGTCTTGAAGAAACAAATCTCACTTGAATGTGATGTGATGTGATTATGATTTTTAACGTAGCTTTAACAATTTTTTAGTTATATCGTTATGATGTCTGCAGTGTCGCAGTTTATAGTGATGTTTAGCACTAGAGCATCATGCCGCATACATAAAGCATGATGTCCCACCCAGACATATTATCCTGACCCAGGCCGACCAGTGCTAACACTAAACTCTTAATGCTGATCGTCAAGCGAGGCAGCTGTTAGTACCATTTTTGTAAGTCGTTGGTATGACTTGGCTGGCGATCGAACCCACGACATCCCGCATCCGAGGCGGACGCTCTAACTTATAGGCCACCAGAGCCGTTCTCACATGAATGTACGGGAGAACATATGCACGGCTATCTTTACATCATAGCGGCCATCATTTCAATCCACGTTCAATGCTGTTACTTGTGTGTATAGGGGGTCAATTAAAAATTGTGTGTTTTTGTGAAGTTTTGGAAATTTAACACACAGACACATACACACACTCGAAAGACAAAGCTTCTACTGTCAGCTGACTAAATATTTTCCCATTTGTAATTACATTAATGTAATATAGGTACCATATAGTGTCATCAGTTAGAATATAATTTTAATATATCGTTTCTGTTGTGGTATCTCGAAGCAATATGGCCAAATTACGTGGTCTAATAAAATTACCAAATGGGTACATAGAAGTTGATTCTATGAGTGCGGAAACGACATGTGTTGCGTACAGGATGGCTGTGACAGTATATTAGGCCACACACCCTGTTTGGTTCCATCGCTTTGCCGTGGAAAATCGCACAAGGACCTGGAGAAAGCAACGAAGTGAAACAAAAGCGACACGCCCATATTTTAGGTGTTTGACGACGGCGTTAGATGAATTGTTAAGAACAGATTATAATGAAAACATGGCATGCCGATTCCAACCTTTATTAAAGGTTAAAAAGTTCAATCTGCATCAAGTAGAATATTGTAAAATCTATTTCTTGGTACTAAGCCTTACGACAGCTTTATGTCATGCATATTATTAAGTCACTATATCGATGATGTCAACATTGTATAACGAATGTGATATAAATTTTTGATCTAAAAAAATCCAGAGACGAGCATTTATATATATATATATATATATATATATATATATATATATATATATATATATATATATATATATATATATATATATATATATATATATATATATATATATATATATATATATTTCCGTCAGACAGACGTCTGACACTTGTCTATGCAACTAGACTGGGTCACTCTATAGCATTCGTAGCTCGGCAAAGGATAGCCAATCCTTGGCTAGGAGGAAAAAAGAAACTTGGCGCTTCGCTCTGCCAGTGTTGGCTAAGATCAAATAAAGTTAATAATTCAACAAATCATGCCGATTCACATGTTTAAGAAACAGAATACCAAAATTCATATAAATCAAGGGGAACATTGTAAGAATACTTTACTTATATGCTATGGTAGTCTCTTTTGACGTCATATACATCTCTATGATCTCAACAGTTTCTAATAGAGCAGGTAAAAGTACCTCTTTTAATGTAAGCAGCCCGTAAGTAAGGGTCGTAGTTTGTGCCATTTTATTTTTTTCTGTTTCAGAATCATACCGGCAAAGTATTTAAGTAGACACAGTCTGGACTCGCCGAGACTATATACATGTACAGTTACAATTAAAGCCGGTTAGGTTAAGCTTGCTTGAAGATTAATTAGGGCTAGACGACAACACACATGTTATTATCTGGCATATTGTGACCCTGAACAAGCCCTCATCCAAGTTTTTGATAAATAGGGTTGAGAAACCTTATTCAGTTTTTGTCTGCAATACACTATTGACGTACGTTTGTAAATAACGTTAATTTAAATGTATCAGATTGTTTCCATTTTGACAATCGTGGATTTTGTTCTTGCAAAAATGATAAAAACTCGAGCATATCGAGTGCAACATGTGCGATGAAGAAATTTATGATATGCGGGGGCGGATTACTCGAGAGTATAACTCGTTGAGACTACGGGACGATATCCATGAGGAAGATGGCTTCCACGTTTACGTAGCCTGACAGCTATTTAAAAGTTGTCACTCATGTAAGCATTGCAGATGGCTTTTTTTAAAAAAAGGCTCTTTTAGCACATTTTTTTGCTATATCATACTAAACAAATAGTGGCTAATTTGCTGTGCTTATGTTTATCTACAGTCTCTGATTATGTTTACGTTTTTATATTTATATTTTAAGTTTAGGGTATTGGGCCTAACTGAAAAATCTTTTTATTTTGTAAACAAGATATTGCATTGCTAATATTCCTTTCTGATTATAGATTAGATATTCAGATCATTAATATTGGAGGTAAAAATAATTTACATGTATCTGAATTTAAACTTAGGACATTAGTTTCTAACTTGGGAATTCCTGATCTTGTTGACCACTTTGAATATTCTAGAAAGGAAGTTGACCTTCTTCCTTGTATTGTTATTGTTTCGTAACTTTTTTTCCTGTTAATGTTTACTTAAAATTATTCAATCCTAGTTTAATACCAATCTTTAGAGGAGTCAGTTTTAGTTGTTTCAGTTAATATTTGTGATTTATTTCTTTATTTTAATTCTCTGGAAATACAACGTGCTCAGTAGCAATATTTGTGACTAAATCTCTTTTTGATGATCATTGTGAATTCATTCAAGGAAATTTTGAATTATATAGCCAAGTTACATCACGACTGTTTGAACATTAATTAGCAAATTTAAGGCTAATGGTGCATAAGCAAGTTTAAAATTGGTATTTATTAGAAATGTGCTCGTTCCACAACCTCAGCATCACCAATTCATTTTCTCAGACAAAACCACAGCACAAAGTGTCTTGGAGGCATCCATGATCCAAACACTGGCATCAGCTGGACTTGATTATCACAAGACGTTCAGCCATGAAGGGTGTGCAGCTTACTCGTACATTCCACAGCGCTGACTGCGACACCGATCACTCTCTAGTCTGCTGTAAATTTAAGCTTCAACCAAAGAAGATCCACCACTCTAGGCAAGTGGGTAAACCACACATCGATGTGAGCAAGACGTCATATCCAGACAAGGCTGAAGAATTCACTTACGCCCTCTCCAAGGCGTTCAGTTCAGAACCTCCCTAATTTAGTGCCAAAGAGAGATGAGACAACATCAGAGATACTGTGTACAGTGCAGCCACAAGAATCTTTTGTAAGAAGCAGACAAAGAACAATGACTGGTTTGACGCCAATTCCGCCACACTCATGCCAGCAATAGAAGAGCGTCGCAGTGCCCACCTGGAATTCAAGCGTTCTCCCTGCGTGAAGACACTACATGCATATAGGTCTACCAGAAGCAAAGTGCTGAGGTTAGCACGGCAATGGCTAATGAATACTGGCTTCTACTCTGTCAGAGCATCCAGTCAGCAGTAGACAACGGAAACATCAGAGACATGTATAATGGCATAAAGAAAGCAATGGGTCCAACGAAGAAAGTGATAGCTCCACTGAAGTCGTCTGCAGGAGATATCATTCATGACAAGAACAAACAGATGGAGCGCTGGGTGGAGTACTACTCCGAACTGTATTCCAGAGAGAATAACGTGACCAACAATGCCCACAACGCCAATGAAGACCTCCCTTGTTTGACCAAACTGGATGAGAAACCTACTGAGACTGAACTAAAGCTAGCATTAGAGAAACTGAACACAGGTAAAGCCCCAGGAAAGGATGGCATCCCAGCAGAAGTCATCAAATGTGGCGGCAGTGTGCTGTTCATACACCTTTATGATCTTCTCTGCCAGTGCTGGGATGAAGGTGCAGTGCCTCAGGACATGAGAGACGCCAACATCATAACCCTGTATAAGAAGAAGGGCGACAGAAGTGACTGAAACAACTACAGGGGCATATCACTTCTCAGCATCGTGGGTAAAGTCTTCGCTAAAGTCATCCTGAACAGACTGCAGACGCTTGCCGACAGAGTGTATCCAGAGTCTCAGTGTGGGTTCCGCGCAGAGAGGTCCACAATCGACATGATCTTCTCCATCAGGCAACTGCAGGAGAAATGCAGGGAACAACACAGACCCCTCTTCATGGCTTTTATAGACCTCACCAAAGCATTCGATCTGGTCAGCAGAGATGGACTCTTCAAAATCCTGACGAAGATTGGATGCCCTCCAAAGCTGTTAAGCATGGTCCAGTCCTTCCATGAAGACATGAAAGGCACAGTGCAGTATGATGGCTCATCGTCCGAACCATTCAATATCCACAGCGGAGTAAAACAAGGCGGTGTCCTTGCCCCCACGCTCTTTGGCATCTTCTTCGCTGTCCTGCTTAAGTACGCATTTGGGGCGTCCACAGAAGGGATCTACCTGCACACGCGTTCAGACGGCAGACTATTCAACCTGGCACGACTGAAGGCAATGAGCAAAGTAAGGAAAGCAACCATTAGGGACATGCTATTTGCAGATGATGCTGCTATAGTCACTCACACAGAAGCTGAACTACAACGCCTGTTGGACCGCTTTGCTAAAGCATGTGATGAATTCGGGTTGATCATCAGCCTAAAGAAAACCAACGTGATGGCTCAGGACGCAGACCCTCCCAGCATAACCATTAACAACTACAAACTAGAAGTAGTCAGTGAGTTCACTTATCATGGCTCTACCATCACCAACAACCTCTCACTCGATGCCGAGCTCAACAAGCGGATTGGAAAGTCCTCAACAACTCTCTCTAGATTGTCGAAGAGAGTATGGAACAACAACAAGCTGACATTAAACACTAAGATCACCGTGTACCGTGCCTGAGTGCTTAGCACTCTTCTGTATGCCAGCGAAACTTGGACCCTGTACGCCTCTCAGGAGAAACGATTAAACGCCTTTCACATGCGTTGTCTCCGTTACATACTTGGGATCACCTGGAGCGATCGTGTGACAAACAACGAGGTGCTTCAACAGGCCAAAATTCCCAGCATGGTCACACTCCTCCGCCAACGTCGCATCAGATGGCTGGACCATGTGCATCGAATGGATGATGGACGAGTCCCCAAAGACCTTCTCTACTCTAAGCTTGCCTCAGACAGAAGATCAATAGGACGGCCACATCTTCGCTTCAAGGATGTCTGCAACCAGGATATGAAAGCTCTTGGAATAGAGGTCAACACCTGGGAAGAGCTTGCCCTCGACAAGTCCAGCTGGCGACATGCTCTGTACACAGGTCTGAAAGACACCGAGGAAAAGTTACGACAGCTCGCTGATGAGAAAAGATCTCAGAGGAAGAGGATGCAGTTCCAACCAAGACCTGAGTCATACTTCAAGTGTAGCAACTGCAG